GTCAAGTTAGTTCATAATCAATTTTTCTTTGTTGGTTAAAATTGCTCTACCTTTTTTCTGATCGTAGACGCTGCATACTTCTCGCGACAGTTACCTATCTGTCGCTACCCACCTGGCATACCAGCGGGACTGTGAAAATGTCCTCTGCATTTAACTATGTTTTTTAATGAAGCCTGTGGATATAGTTAAATGGCCGACGGGATTTCACCAGTGTGCTGATCGTCACACCCTAAGTGACTGCGCAGTAAGTCCACTAACCCAAAGAGGCCGATAGGCTCTCGGAGAATGTTAGTGCACTTTTTCGCATTACAAGAGCATCTTGACTGTTTTTTAAAATTCATATAATTCGCAAAATGCTTCTGTATGCGCACGAACTCGTGCAAGATATATCGCCGTTTGACGTGGATATATGTTGTTGACTTTCGCGGAACTAACCTAAGGTATTTAAGATCAGACCTAGCGCGTGAAATTTTTTTCTTAAATCATTGTAAAACACTTGGTTAGTCTAGGTAAAGCTCCGTAGGCTGCGTCTGTAATCCTGCCGGTTCAAAACGAGTGAGATCAAGTTCGTGTCTGCCGTTTCCTTTAGCTATAATTGCAAGCTTCCAATAACTGGGTTTTGTTGGTAAGCCCTTCTACCCAACACAAATATCTATCCAAATGAGACCTTGCATGCGTGGAAGTCAATCGGTGAAGCATGTGTACGATGAAAAGGACACCATACTAGCACCTCTGTCATTGTTCTGGACTCCATCAGCTGCAGACCAGTGCAATAAAGAGCTGGCAAGAATCGGTTTACAAACTCGCCCGCTGTAATTTATAATTTATTATCGGTGGCTACCGTGGCCAGACAATGCAACATCAGGCTTCAATTAGTAGCTGTCGAACTACTCCATACGACAGTGATGAATTACCTCCCTCCATCCAGCTTCGATGCCAAGAGCGTCAGTGCTATAAAGAAGTGCTTCCAACATTTGGAGATAGCTGCTGACCTGGTTCTCCAAAGATGATCTTCCAGTATGCGAGATGAACTGATTGATTTAATGTTCCATGACTGGGCGCATGAAATCAGATAGATGCCTGGCTCTGAAACCGACATGACTTATACGACCGTATACGCATGGGGGTTCACTTCTCCATCCATTTTCAGCATACACGCTACTGTTTAACCGCCCCTCTCTTAAAATACATTTATCCATTGCGGGCTGCGTTGTAACGTTAAACCAAGGCTCGGTATACATGCATCACTCGTTAGGCTGAGACCCTACTCCGCGTCTGTCGCTGCAGATAATCTTATATCCAGATAGTTTGAATGTAATCTACCGCTGGTAATTCTTATAAGAATGACTGAACACGACTCAATGCAGATCCAGTGTTTATCATCCTGTCTATAATGAGCCTACGTGGTTTCTAACTGTTGTGACGCGTCAATAATCGTGACGTTTTAGGTCTCCAGCAGAAGAGATACCTAATTCCCTCCCTCTCCCCTTACGCCCTGCGGACAAATGGTAGACTGCGGTGACGTCTTCTAATACGTCGATGAGGACAATTTGTTTCAATGAAATTAGTTTGACGTACCT